CACCTGACCCACACATAGACATGCAGAGGGTTCAAAACCGACCCCCTAAGCAATCCTCGTTGTCTCTGAGCTGACACCTGGCACACCTACTAAACTCTTCTGAATATTACAATGTATGGCGCAATCTATACCCGGGAGTGAGAGACTATACATTTTACTCCCTAGTCCACATGACATACTCCAGGATTGATCTATGCCTCCTTGACAAAAGCACACTACCACACGCCATAGGCATGCACATTGGTCCTATCACATGGTCGGACCATGCCCCCCTGGAAATGACATTGAAAATACCACACCCAGCGAGAGGAAGAGGCGCTTGGCGTTTAAACGAGGCCCTACTAGAAAACCCGTACCATTTTACAAGACTGCGAGATGCACTAGACTCATACTTTGAGGCTCACACACACTGCGAAACCACACTAGCTACACAATGGGTCGCCCACAAGGTAGTCACGAGGGGATAATTTATCAAGCCAACACCAAAAGAGCAGCGTGCATAGAACAAACAAAACTCACTCCAGAAATAGCGGACACTGAATCTAGTAACAAATCAAAACCATCCAAGCAAAACCAAACACGACTACAGATACTTAAGACCAAACTACGCGAGTTGCAACTACAAACGACAGAGAAACATATGCGATACCTGAAACAAACTCACTACACAATAGGGAACAAAGCATGCAAAATTTTAGCTGGCCGCTTGAAACAAAAATACCTCTAGTCCAAGATCCCTTACATAATTTCCAAACGAGGAGACAAGCTCTACAACCCCCAAGACATAGTGAACACACTAGCGGAATACTATGCATCACTTTACCAACTACACACAGACCCAGAAACACACCAGCCTTCCAAAGCTGAAATAGACTCTTTCCTGGAAAGAGTCCCCCTCCCCTGCATTTCCCTGGACCTTGGCGCATATCTAACCTGTCCCTTTACTGACAAAGAACCCAGGGAAGCCATCCAATCACTCCCTAAGCACAAATTCCCGGGCCCAGATGGCCTCTCCTACTACATTAAATTCACAGACCAGTTAGCCGCCCACCTCCTACGACTATTCAATGACATTAAGCAGACTGGAAAAATGCCCCAAGAAATGCCATGTAGGCAAGTGGGAGACAACACCCGCCACTTTTTAGACGTCATTGACTGGGCAAACCACTCCTCTCAACAGGGCCTGGTGCTGGCGTTGGACGCCGAAAAGGCTTTTGATCGCTTGCACTGGGGATACATGGAACAAACCCTGGCCAAAATGGGTCTTCCACCGGCCTTCCTAAAAAGTATCATGGCCCTTTATCACTGTCCATCAGCAAAGGTCTTCAGTACCGGCTTCTTGTCAGCACCCTTTAGAATACACAATGGCACGTGCCAGGGTTGCCCACTGTCACCACTCATCTTTATCCTATGACTTGAACCCTTAACGCGACTCATAAATGATAACACACTGATCCGAGGACTGCCAACTCCAGGGGGTATGCAGAAGTTGGCTTTATTTGCGGACGACATACTCACGTTCATAACACAACCCATCAGTTCCATCCCAGCACTTCTAGAGCTTCTCAGAGAGTATGGAAGGATTTCTTACTACAAGAATAACACTACTAAGACACAAGCACTACCGATCAACCTACTACACCAAAGGCAAACACTGCTATCCTCCGATTACACCTTTGACTGGCGAAAATCATCCCTTACTTACCTCGGGATCAAACTAACAAAAACCCACCAGACCACTCTTAAAGAAAACCATTACCCAGTAGTGAACAAACTAAAAACGACACTAGAACCATGGGAAAACCTAGAGATCTCCTGGTTGGGCCGGGTAAATACGATTAAATTGATAGCTCTGCCCCACATCCTATACCTCTTCCGCACGACACCAATAACACTACCTAACAAACTGATCAAACTAATGCAATCTGTCATAAATGCACATGTCTGGAAGCGAAAACCCCCAAGAGTGGCCCAGCGCAACCTAAGCTTTACCTTCACCAAAGGTCTGTCTGACATTAAAACATACTACGGGGGGGGGGGAGCCTGACCGCTGAAGCGACTGGTCACAAGTTCCTAGAGCTCCCCACCGAGATAGCCAAAATCGGGTGAAACAATCAGCCTACCTGCACCCACAGGGTCCAGGGGGACCACCCTTGACAACAAGATCAAGATGGGACGCAAAACAAAAAAGCCCAAACCTGACAAGGCCAGCCCTGGGCTCACAATCGGAGACCTATGGCAGCAGGCGCATGGCGCCAACGGGCCCAAGATGGCCGCCCTCACTGGAGCCTGCTCTGATTTTTCTGATGACGACTCACTGGGAGCCGAAATAGAATACCCGCAGGCACTAGAGAGACCCATACGGAGACCACAGGACACAGAGGCGTCCCCAGTGACTAAAGCTGACCTAAAGGAGATGCTGGCCGAACTCCAAAAGCACATCTCAGCGGACAAAGCTACAATCCACGGAGACCTGAGGGGCCTCACAGGCCGCATCGGGAAACTCGAACTCACCACCACAGAGCACTCCCAGCAATTAACGGCGCTCCAGCAAACAGTGCAGGAATTACAACACCAAAATCAGCTACACGAATGCCGATTTGCTGCCCAAGAGGATTCCCGGCTCCAAAATAACATAAAGGTGCGGGGGGTGACAGAGTAGATACCGGATGCTGAGCTTCCACAATTTGTGAGACGCCTGATAGGGGCCTTACTACAACCCCGACAGGCTAAAGCAGTGGTGATCGAGGGCCAATTCCGAGTACCCAAACCCATCAGAGCCCCGAACGCTGCCTCCAGGGACTTGGTGGTTCCTTTTAGAAACGGGTCAGACAAAACTGCAGTCCTCACCGCGCTAAAGGGACACTCACCTTATCACTTCGAGAATATGCCCCTCACCGTCTACGCCGACCTCTCAGGGAGCACCCTGGCATGGAGGAAAACGCTCCAGCCATTCACTGCACTCCTACAACAGAACAACATCCACTACCAGTGGAAGCTCTCCCGCACACTGCTGGTGCATCACGGAGCCACTCCACACGCCATCCACAACCTCCAAGAGGCTGCTGAAATACTACCAGCCCTGGGGCTACCCCTGGACACACTTACCCGGGACATTCAATCTGAAACGCCCTCTAACTCCTGGGACCCTGCAAACATCCCCCGGAGCACCTCGGATTCCTATGCGGCCACAACCACCTGAACATGTGCAGACACCAACCGGGACTCACATGAGCGCTAGCCTATTCTGACTTGCGTTAAACCCAGAACGTTTGACTTTACCACTTCACAGGTGTATGTTTTTTTTTTTTTTTATTTACATTTTATTTACATTTTTTATTTGCCCTACCCAGTGGCATTGGTTCTATAAGTTTTGTGTAGTTTGGTTCTTGCTCCAGGGCAACATAACAAATCATTGTATCCCACCCTAGCCACCTATGCAAAGTTTAACCTTGATTAGCAGCTCCACATGTCGTGGTCTAATGTGACTCAATGCGCTAACCTAACAAACTTTTCCTGCCTGTTAGTAGTTACACTCAGCATTTTTAGTCTGTGACCAGCTAATTATTTTATCGTATTGATTTATTATTTACTCTCTGGCTACAGCAGCGCAATCTCACTGGCGTCACCTACCTTAACTTTACATAATAGGCCTATACCTACGCCATGAGACAGCCGAACAGGAAAATACCTCACAGTCTGTAACAAATCTGTTACACATATATTATACTTCTGAAACACGAAAGCATGCTATTCCATTATACCAACATAAATATAGCTAACCTAGCACTGTTAAACATTAATTGTTCTCACCTGTTTAATTTACCTCTATTACGACAATACATCAACCCTGCCGATTGCAGGAATTGGATGATCCGGGTACTGCTCCTATAATCCGAGCCTGGCTCAGACAGCGGTGGCAGTTGCATAAACGGATGACTCTGCATTGCTTATGTTTTCAGTTTTCTGCTATTGATTTTTTTTTTTTTATATTATGTTTATTGTGTACCTATCTATTTCATACCTAGACAAACGCAATCCCTAGTGTGGAGCACCCTGGCATTAGCGCTAATGCGCCCCAGGGTCCAGTGGCCATAAGCGTTAACTGTAAGCTGAATGACCACATGTATACCTTAGGGTAAACCTGCGATACCATCACGATCTCAGTTTGTTCCCCGCATCATACCTCACCCCAGCCATACCTGCTAATCGTTAAACTGACTGCAGAATTGAACAATCGAGCGCATGCTTTACTCAATCTTATTAGTTCCTACAGGAACTGACTATGCTATTAACCATGGTGCAAAAAATATGTAAAAGTTTGTTAATATGGTGACCGCTCAAATGTTTATCGTACTCTTAATGCTCTCAATGTCCTTACTTAATTACAAAAAAAGTGCCGTTTATCTACTGCCATGCCTTTGTATCAGCTATGTTTGAAAATATTGCACTGGCACCTGCGGTCATGGCAGAACAAGTGTTGTTATGTCTTGCACAACAAAAATAAAGAATTATAAAAATAAAAAAAACATACTACAGGGCTTCAACTCTAGCACAGGGAGTACACATACTGAGACTTCGGGACCGTTCCCAAAAGCCACTGTAGCTGACACTGGAAGATGCCTACCTGCACCCACAAAACACGTCCCACACACTGTGGGTGAGTGCCCCCACCAACCCTGATGGGGCGTACCTCCCACGGTGCTCCCGGTTCCTGCTGAGCTCATGGCGCACCTGGAGTCATCTGATTCTGGACCCATATTTGCTCTTCAGAGAAGCGCCATTAGAGATCCTGACCATATTCCCTCCAGACCTACCCATAGCAGGTTGGATAGCCAGGGGCATATATAAAGTAAAGGACCTACTGGAAGAATACGAGATCAAAATGTGACCTCCAGCGGGAATTTTCTCTACCCCAAAGGGACATGTACCTCTATCTTAGAACAAAGTGACATACTGCTACCTCATACACGCAAAACAAGAGAAGGGACCAAAGACTACTCAATCGGGTCCTCACCACTAAGCTTGGGAAACCTCTGTCCCTGTGTTACAATGCCCTTCTGGAGGCCCAATTGTGTGAGGAAAGATCCTATATGAAACAATGGGAGGGAGAGCTAGGCCACCAATTGACTCTGGCACAATGGTACGAGGCACTATCCAACACAAAGAGCGCATCCAAGAGCCTCTCGCTGTGGGAAGCATACTGCAAAATAGCCATAAGATGGTACCTGGTCCCACATAGACTGGCAAAAATTTACAAGGGTTCATCCGAGCTCTGCTGGCGCTGTGAGGGGGGAGCGGGTACCATGCTACACATGTTCTGGTACTGTCATTTATTGGGAGCATTTTGGACACAGATACAAAACCTAATTTCGAGCACTACGGGCCTCCTCATTCAGTTGCGACCAGAATACTACCTGCTACACATGATACCTGGACTCTCACTGCACCCCCACATGAAAGTACTAATAAACATACTTACAGTAGCAAAAATCCTACTAGCCCAAAACTGGAATAGCAAAACAGTACCAACCATGGCGACAATTACAGATAGATTGTACGAGCGGATGGCTAGCAGGGTGCAGGGACAGGAAAATAAGCACGATAAAGAATGGGCAAGCTGGAACCTTAGGCCATGAGCTCCCGCCCCTCGCAGAGTACCCAATTCAAACACTAACGACCACAAAGTAGACCCGCTCGACTGAAGAAATAGCAAATAAGGGAAGAAAACTGACAACCACGAAAACTCTAGCTTGAACGCAAAGATACTGGGTAGCAAGGCTGGGGACTCTAGGTCGCCACTCCCAAGTTATAGTTCCCCCACCCCCTGTTCCTATCCCCCCCACAAAATGCCAACACATCACCTACTGCACACAGGTCACATCATGGTTCGTTGACAACACAGCCTGGGGGCGAATAACTAGCTCATCTCTGTATGTAAGAAAATATAAGGCTTGCCGAAAAATGTAACTACTGAACGCACTGAACCAAAATGATGGCAGCTATACCCGTAATGTAAGAACATGTATACCTGGCATAAACACCTGAATGTAATGTACAAATTTTTCATGCTGTTGGCGAAATAAAGATTATATGCTTTCTCAAAGTGTTACTGCAGCGGAATGGGCTTTGCCACAGTACCCCTCTTTGTACTAGGGACTGTCCATACCCCTTGTGTGCCTCTATTTTCCTGTGTTGCTACTGCTCGTTACTTGGAGAAACAAGTAACAAATTATTTAATTGTGTCTTTTCGTCTGGTTGTTCGGTATTATCTCTATTTCAGCTGACTTTCCCTATATAATTCGACAAACAAACTAAGTACCGAACAATCAGGCCACCCATGAGAGGAGCGTGGCACCAATTGACCATTCTAACCCTGTTCACACTTTCTTAACTACAAACACATGAATCAACTGGGCAATCCCCTGAGTGGCTGCTGTTCGTATATGCGAACACGTGGCGGCGACCATCTTGGAATACGAACTGTACCAGCAGGATTTGGTCGTCGAGTGTCTGGAACACAAATCGGACGGCACGAACACCGCAGAGACTTCCATCCTCGTGTAAGTTTGTGTAAACTCAGGGGAACAAAGCGGCATTCAGTGAAAAGAACCACACGAACAAGATGATTTCAACGAACTAAAGCACGAACCAGCTTTATATGCAATTTTGTGTAATTCAGACTCTCGAGCGTAGACCGACCGCACAGCCCAGACGCATGGAACTATTTTCGGTATACACCTTGTGTGCGGTCGGTAAAACTAAGACTTCCATGGAAATGTCAAACCCCTCATTTTTCAGTATGTTGCTCCCCCAGATCGGGGCTATCAGGGAATGTCTGAATTGTGGGAGTGTGATATGTTTTTAGAGTATTTCAGAAAATGTATAAAATTTGTCATTTTTCGTTTGGAGATAATTGAGTTGATACAGTAATTAACCCAGTAATCTCCTAAGCAGAGGGGAGGGATTGTGTGGAATATATGAGAGTGACTCATTACCTGACTCTGTGTTTATTGGCTGTTTACTGTTTTTCCCTGTGCCCAACAAGGTCCACCTGGGTGGTAACCTTGTGGGAAAACTTGCATAAAAGGCCAGCATGGCCCATTAAAGATCAGTTCTGCTCCTAATACTTAGTGTTGTCCAGTTATTAAAAAGGGTGATGGGCGAATCGTGTAATATTAGGCATCTATGCCTGTATTCCTGAAGAATCCTGCTTGTTCCTGAGTAGCTGTTGGAGTAACCAGTGGAGAAGAGTCCCTGCTAGAACTAGTGCTCCGCTACAGTTACATTCTACTGGACTTGCACAGTTTATAGAGGTAGCAAAAATTCTAATTTAATGGTTGCATGACCTCACACTAATGTGACTAAAATCAATTTATTTTCCTCCAGTGACTTTTTTTGGTCCTGCCGCTGTTTTAAAGTTTCATTTCTCCATAGGCGATAGTACGGAAGCCGAATGGAAGTGCGTGATTATGTGATCGCAAGTATAGGAAATGAAAGGCCAACACACATGGTTAAATTAGACATAGCATTCAGTAGGCAAGATGGAGGCTTCAACATGTAACCAGATGTAACAAGAGAATGGGAGAAAACTAGGATACTTATATAAAGGATGACAAACAACTACAGATATACAATTACATAAATTCAACAGGGCTGTGAGTTCCCAGAGCCTCACCCCTTTGAGACTTAATAAGCAACTGTTACTGGTAATCATAAAATAATATTACAATGTTCTGTCTTGAGTGGGAGAGTCTAAATGTGTTGTAAATAAAACCAGTTCTCTCCTTAACCCTTTCTGGACCGGACTGCAAAAAACTAATATTTGGCCAGTGTTTGTGACTCAAAATATATAGTTTTTAAATTGATCAATAGTGACATTGTAACACTGTCATCTGTCATAAATCTCTGAATCACACCTCAATTTTTAAAGTAGACAACCCAGGGTATTCAATATGGGGTATGTCTATTTTTTTTTTTTTTTTAGTAGCCACTTAGTTACAAACACTGGCCAAAGTTAGAATTTATATTTGTGTGTTAAAAATGCAAAAAACAATTATGAGCGCTAACTTTGGCCAGTGTTTGTGACTAAGTGGCAACTAAAAAAACTGAACATACCCCATTTGCAATACCGTGGGTTGTCTTCTTTGGCAAATGGTATGCCATCATGGGGGTCATTCTCATTCCTGGACTATCATACGCTCTCAAAAGCAACATAATCAACCTGGCAATTTTCAATGTAAAAAAAAAATTGACCCATATATTTGACCATGTAACTTAAAAAAAAACCTTTAAAACATGTACATGAGGGGTAGTTATACTCGGTAGACTTTGCTGAACACAAATATTAGTGTTTCATAACAGTAAAACGTATCACAACAATTATATCATCAGTGAAAGCGCTGTTTGTGTGTAAAAAAAGCAAAACACATCACTTTTACTGCCAATATCTGTGATATGTTTTACTGTTTTGAAACACTAATATTTGTGTTCAGCAAAGTCTCCAGAGTAATACAGTACCCCTCATGTACAGGTTTTAGGGTGTCATAGAAAGTTACAGGGTTAAATACAGTGCTAGCAACTTAAATTCGTTGGACTTTCGGCCTAGGTTGTCAGACAGGTCCCTCAAATTGCAATCAATAAAATTACTTAATCCCTTCAGGACGGAGTCAATAGTGCACGTTCTGGTCAAAACAAAATGTAAACAAAAACTGGAATTTGCGCTATATGTCT